CCACAGGGTACCTGCCGAGAGAGCGGCCTTTCAGGGCAGGGTGAGTCTGAGAGAGCCTCAACTCGGGGCTTGTGCCATAAGGTCTAGGCTTTCTGTACTTCAAAGGAGAGGTTTCCTACAGCAGTCACCTGACGCAATAAGATCAAGGGGGTTTTGGTTTCCTTCTGGCATATCGCGGTTACTTTAAATTTCTCTGCTGCATATCTATCTGTAATAATGTTCACTTATGCTTATACATCCAGTATATGAAAGTACAAGCCTTCCTAGACTTTCATCTGCTATAAAATTCAAAGTGTAAAAATGACTCTTATTTGCTTCCTTATCTTTTGGGTTTTTTTGGGGTTTTTGTTTGGTTTTGTTTCCCCCCCTCCCCTCTGCTGCTGATATTTTAGGAGTACCTGCAATGCATCTTGATGCCTGTGATTTAGCTTTGTGCTTTCAGGTTACCACCTTTTTATCCTCGTGCTAGCAAAGCTCCTCTATTTTGCCTGCAATGGGGAGAAATGTTTGTTTTTTGTTTTTTTTTTTATCTAGTTACTGAGCCTTGAGACAAGTATTTAATGCCATCATTGGTGGCTTATCTGTAGAGGTGAGTATCATACCAAACAGAGGTATTGTTCTGGAGTTAATACACTGCTGTACAACTTAAGGTACCTGGTTTAATTTTTCTTCTTCTACAAATGTCATAATATCTCTGTTCCCAATTCTTAAAATAGGAATCGTATTGCTTACTGCCTTTTGTATGGCAGACGTAAAATCATTAATGTTCCTGAGGCATCAGCATGTTAGAGCGACCAGCACAGTGCAAAAACCAGTGGCTAAATTGTACTGAAAAAGGAATTGGAACAAAACAGTGTAGTTCAGGTGTGTGATCAGTACTTAAAGTTTTAAATGTAGCAAATTTTACATGAAGTGGTTATAGATTGAAAAATGTTCACTTGGCTTTCTGTGTACCATTTACAAGCCTAATTCTGGTCCCAGCTTGTTGGAATTGGTCAACAATAACAAATTTATTGAATTGATCACCTGTGGTAATGTTAGCTAACTGACTCTAAAAAGAAAACTAGGAAAATACATATTTGGGAAGGAATTATAGAGGAAAAATTAAGTTATTACATGATGGATCGAGAGCAGCCCTGAGGAGAAAGACTTGGGTGTGCTTGTGGATGAGAAGCTCAACATGAGCCAGCAATGTGTGCTCGCAGCCCAGAATGCCAACTGTATCCTGGGCTGCATCAAGGGAAGCGTGGCCAGCAGGTCAAGGGAGGTGATTCTGCCCCTCTGCTCTGCTCTCGTAAGGCCCCACATGGAGTACTGCGTCCATTATTCTCCAGTTCTGGAGCCCCCAACACAAGAAGGACATGGACCTACTAGAGTGAGTCCAGAGGAGGCCACCAGGATGATCCAAGGGCTGGAGCACCTCTCCTGTGAGGACAGGCTGAGAGAGTTGGGGCTGTTCAGCCTGGAGAAGAGAAGGCTCCGGGGAGATCGTATAGTGGCCTTCCAGTACCTGAAGGGGCTACAGGAAGCTGGGGAGGGACTTTTTACAAGGGCAGGTAGTTAAAGAATAAGGAGTAATGGCTATAAACTGGTGAAGGGTAGATTTAGATGAGATATTAGGAAGAAATTCTTCACTGTGAGGGTGGTGAGACACTGGCACAGGTTGCCCAGAGAAGCTGTGGATGTCCCCTCCCTGGAAGTGTTTAAGGCCAGGCTGGATGAGGCTTTGAGCAACCTGGTCTAGTGGGAGGTGTCCCTGCTCATGGCAGGGGGGTTGGGACTAGGTGATCTTTAAGGTCCCTTCCAACCCAAACCATTCTATGATTCTATGACTAGTGTATTATCTATAGCAAAGTTCTGTACGTTATACATTTAAGATATTCTCTTACTGGTTTTGAAATATGGGAAGAAGCTTAACTAATTTCTCAAATTTCTCGGTGTTAAGAATATTATTTGCTTGTGAAGGAGAACGTTTGCCCAAAGGCTATAAGGGTAAAACCTACTTGACTTTGGATCTAAGGGTGAAACATTACAAGAAATGTGACATCCTTTGTTGTAGCTTTTGATTAAAACACTTGCTTTTCATGATATGGGGGGAAATCATGCTGTATTTTTCCTGTTCTTGGTGTAAAGCACATTCTGATGAATCGTGTACTGGACTTTCCAGTGTCATTCCAATAATTATATCAATTTCAGAAGAGCTTTTGATGTGGAACTAAATAATGATGTTTTTGTTGGAGGTACATTGGGGTCTGGTTTCTTGTGATCAAAAAGCCTTTGCATATCTTTCTCACTTAACTCTTCTCTTTGTATTGCTAAATGAGTTTCACTAACACTTTCCTATTCAGTTTCATTAACTTGCAAATAGAGTGTTAATACAGGATAGGTCATCTGAGTGTGGAGAGCAGGTTATTTGTGCAAATTATTTGTGAAATATATGGTATTATTGGTTCAGAAGACACACAGCTTAAAATGGAGACAACTTGTTCTAGAGGAATGAATGCAAATTATGGAATCATGATGTTCCCAATTATAATTCTTGATTTGCTCTTGTGAATGTTGTGCATCCTGATAGATCCTTTAAGTACTGAGAACTTGCAGAATGATACATATCAGTGCCAGACTCAGGAAGGTCTTAATGATCTTGGCCAGGAATTTAGAGTAATAGTCACGCAAACAAATGTCTGTGTATTACTAAATTACTTCACCTAATGATTCTTGGATTACGTAGATCTGTCCTGCAGTAGAGTAGGACATGACTGGCAGATTGTGAAGCCTGTTTGTTGAATTATTTCTGCTATTGCTGCAGGAATTTGGACTTTGTAGGACTAGCCCACTCTATGGCATTGCAGGGGGCTTTTCTGCCTTGGAAACATGTTTGACACTTAATCAAGGCTGGATTCTGGCTTTATTGACTGACTCACACAGGGATCTCTTCAAGGCTGATCTAACATGATAAATATCAGAGTTTCACAAGTTGAGTATAGGTAGAGCATGGTCCAAATAAGTATATTGGGTGGGAAAGTCAGAGGAAGAAGAACATACCAACTTGAAACCAGGACTGTGCTGGAGCCTGAAACTCAGTGAAGTACAGACATATAAATGGGCTTAGCTATGGACAAGGTACATCTTGTGGGTTTTTTTCACTTCCATGGTGATAGAAAACATCATGATTTTTCTTAGTGATGTATGCATTTTAAGGGTAAGGTAGATGCTGTTTAAATGCTTTCCTGACAATCTGTTCCTGAAGAATAGACACTAGTAAGCACAGAGAGCCCCCATCCTAATTCAAAGTTTTCCCAATACCAGTTTAGCTCAGCTTAGCTTACTCTCAGCAGGTTGAAGAATGTAGAGTAGTATCCCCCAAAAAGGTATCGGTCCAATATTCAGTATCTAAGAATATGTGCTACTCTCTGAAAGCAAGTAATAATGACAAGACTATCCAAATTCATCAGCCTGGAGACCATCAGACAGGTTTCAGCAATTAGTTCTCCTCATAGCAGTTAGTTCTGCTCATAACACATGGGTGACTGCACAACTCTTCCTAGAGCCAGTTTGTAACCAGCCTTTTTTAGTAAGGTTTTCCAGTCAAGCCAAGTGATCAAGCACATCTGTCTGAGCTAACAAGGAACAAAGTAAGACCCCTCAGCACCTTGCAAAACCAGGGACATGGAGTCACCATGCTGTGTGTCAGTAAAAGCACCGAAGTCTGGATTTCCATGATCTAAATCCTTGTCAGCTATTCCTAGGCTATTCAGGACGTGTTCATGGAAATGCCTGCATCATTCTGGAGTGGCAATTAGATACCTGTGTTTGGGCAGCTGAGTAGAGCCTGAAATCTCCATTTGCCTATAGTGGGAGCTTGGACTTCTAGCTCACATGTGGACAGCGAAATACAAGGTGTCTTCAGCTCAAAACGAGTACCATTTTAGAAGTGGGATTCATTTGCCTGAAGACAGGTATAGGTACAAATTATCATTTGACACATCCTGTAGTATCCTAGGTGTTTCTGTGGGGCTGGGAGGTGTCACTTAGGCTTTATGGGAGACTCACAGCTTTCTGAAACTGCAGTTACAGGCTGGAATACTCTTGACTTCCCTAAAACTGCATTAGACACCTAATTTTATGCAAATAGGTTCTGTTCCAGATTTCCATAGGGACTGTCTGCTCTGTCACTGGCATCTTCTAGCTTTATTTCTATGGATTTTTGAACTACTTCATTAATCCACGTCTGCAGAGCCTGGGGACATTGATGCACTATTTTCTATGTTTAGCTGTTTTTTTATGGAAATAGTATAATTCCACTTCATGCAGACTCCAGGGGGCAGACATTTAAGTGGGCTGCTTCTCGCCTGCTTTCATCTGCCTGTAGAACATCTTGTCTAAACTAAACGACAGATTTCGTTTGTCATCAGTGGAGAGAGATGGACTCTCAAGGAGTGACTCACCCAGCATATCTTAGACACCAGTCTTCTCATTTTCTATAGAGGCAGACTAGATGACCTGATTAGAAAGTGAGGTTGAATGAGAGAATCCCACGTTGTTACACTTCATATATTTTTCATTACAACAAGGGAGTAAACAGCATCTCCTTATCTGTGGAGAGGGTTAACCTGTGGGATTCCCTTCCTCCTCGCTTCATGGTACAATCAAGGATACTTAAAATGCTGGAAGATCTCTCTCCAGTGATAGGAGTAGGGAGGGCTGAGAGTTATGAGGCAAGTTCTCCATAGTCCTCAGGGTGCTCTATGGGTTGGCAGCATACTTGCAACTGCAGATGACAGAGATGAAATTGTGTGTTTGAGAGTATGCATGATAGTATCTTAGCATTTGAGACCAGAAATTTGGAGGTGAGTCAGGTCCAAGAGAGGAAGAATATACAGCACATTTATGAGGGAAAATTTGGGTGTGTAAATTTGAGTTGCAAGTGGTGGCACACTTGTTCCCAGTAGTATTTTTAAAAATCATATTTAAAGTGTTGAGCATGTAGCATTTTCGTCATGGTGCGTAAAGTCTTTTGTTCTTTCATCAGCGTAATGGAGCTTCAGCATGAAGTAAAATTAAGGCTGTGCTTGGGTCAGCTCTCATTTTTGACATGAGACTTTGAAGTGGTTACTACATTTAGTTTCTCACTAGCATAAAAATCCATTGTATTAATATAGACTGATGGTAGAACCACATCACATTCATTTGACATGTTGATGTCTTATAAATGAGAGCATGTAGGTTGAAGTTTGCAACAGAGAACTTGATTCAGATACATGCATGTAGGTGTGTACTGTGATTCAGAGTTTCCAGGATTGCTCGCTTTGGGTTTTGGTGACCATTCTGAAAGGGCATGAGACTAGCCTCCTCTAGAGCCAGTGTCAGATCTGCACAGGTGTCTGATAGACCACATGGTGGCTTAAAAGGCAGCAGGTTTCTGTATGGGGACAGCTGAACTGAGCCTTGATTATTGATCTTACCTTTAGCTGTCCTTCACTTCCAATTTATTTTCTCCCAGCAGTGAGAATTAAAATTGTCCAAGAATAGTAGAATGATAGAATTAATTATTTTTCCTGGGTAATTAACAGTGTCTGTGTCAAAAATGATGAATAATCTTAATTGTTTAATGTTCCTAGTAATGTTGGCAACTATAAATCATTGCAGTTCAAAGCTTGAACGGTAAGAGTGTATGAAAAGGAAACGGTGAACAGCAGCTATCAATATATTCATGATAAAATTTGCCAACATACCAACTGCATGGTGTGGAATTATAAGGCTTTCTGTATGGCTTATGTTCCAGGGAGGGTTAAAAATGCATGTGACATTTTGATTAATAATGTGTCATATATATTCATCACACCTGTGATTTCATATGGCAAGAACTGAGGTTCATGTCATCACAGCACATATGAACAAGTAGTAACTGGTAAGTTTCAAAATGCAAATGTAAACTGGAGGCTTTATTCTAATGAATATTTCTCATATTTTTTACCTTTTATCAATGCCCTGGGAAAAAAGCATTAATTTCTACTAATGTAGATGGCAAAAAGATTGAATGTTGATTCATAGAGCAGTCAAAACTGTTTGATAAGCTAAGTGTGAAGAAAAAACATGTTTTAGATGGTGAAGGGCTCTGAAGATACAGTAATTTAGATTATCATGTGCTCACACTATAATACTATGGCCACATAAACAGAAATAGTGTATTAAATTGTCTGTGGTTTTATTGCTGGCAAGACTACCACTGGCATATTATGTCCAATTCTGCTTCTGCAGTTTAAGACAGATGATGACAAATTGGAAGAGAATCAGAGGAGAGCAGCGAGAATGGTTAGAATGCTTGAAGCTATGCCTGAAGATAATGCAAGGCTCCAAGAACTTAATCTATTTAGCTTTTAAAGGGAACATCAAGAGGCTGTTACAACTGACTCTGTAAGATCACAGGAAAGTTGTTAGAAAAGATCTCCTCACAGTAACAGATAAAATTATACCAAGACAAGTGGTTGAAGTCTGATGCTAAATGTAAATAGCAAATTTTAATAAAACAAATGAAATTTAATTATTGGAATAATTTTTTCAGGAGCTCTGTTAAATTGTTTTTCACCAGACTTTAAAATTCAGATTGGTAGTTTTTCCTATACTGTGTGTTATGGTTCAAAGAGGAATAAATTCAAGGGTGTTTCTTGTCTTGCGTTGTTTGAGAGATTTGGTTAGTTCTTGAGAATAAACCTTCCTTTTTTATATATCTGTGAATCTACAGGTAAAGTGACATTCCTATAATGAAAACATACTTTGAACCATGTTTCATTAAATGCATTTTCATTTTTGTAAATACTGGAAGTATGTCTGAACTCAGTAACAAAAGTTAATAAAGCTGTCTAACAAACTACCAAAGTGTGTTCAGTGCCTGGAATAGTATCTCATGGAAAACTGAGATGCTGTTTTCCCCAACCAGCTAGCAATTTCTAATTAATATATGGTATTAATGAAAAGTTAATCTAGGAGTTGCAAACTGCTGATGAATGAATAAGGCTGAGCCCTTAAATGCCATTTTTATGTAGTTACTATATGACAATGGATGTCAGTACTTGCAACTAATTGTGTTGCTTAAAATGGAATTTCAAGTGCATTAATTACAGTCTTTCTTTTCAACAGGCCCATGCTAAAGTCTGGCATCTCTACAATGACCATTTTCGTCCAACTCAAAGAGGAAAAGTGTCCATTGCCCTTAGCTCCCACTGGATAAAACCTCAACGTATGACTGAAAAAAACATAAAAGAATGTCAAAAATCCCTTGATTTTGTGCTTGGCTGGTTTGCTAAGCCCATATTTATTGATGGTGACTATCCAGAGAGCATGAGGAGCAACCTCTCATCTCTGTTGCCTGAATTCAGTGAAACTGAGAAGAAATATATCAAGGGAACAGCAGACTTTTTTGCTCTTTCTTTTGGAGCTACCCTGAGTTTCCAGCTCTTGGACTCCCACATGAAATTCCAGCAGTTGGAATCAATAAGCCTGAGGCAACTTCTTTACTGGATAAGCACTGAATATAACAACCCCCAGATATTCATTGTGGAGAACAGCTGGTTTGTTTCTGGTAGCACCAAGAGAGATGATGCCAAGTATATTTACTATCTCAAAAAGTTCATTATGGAAACTTTAAAAGGTAGGACTAAGGTTGTATTAATATGTGCCTGACAAAATCATAATGCAAAATGGCCTACAGAGACATGTTAAAGAACCAGGCTGAAAACTAATTTTAGTCTTTAACATTCATCTTGGCACTTGTGAAGTGAGAGTCCAAATGCCTTTCCTGGATTTGTTCTTTTCAGCTCTTGAAGACTCTTAATATCTGCAGATAGCATTTGGTGAGCTTGATGCTGCCGTCTTTGAAGTCAGTAGGAAAATTTCTACTGTCTTTGACGGGAGGAAGTGTAAAATGTGTGAACTCTACTCTCAGTGGCCTTAGGGAAATGTATGGTATTATTTTCAGGACAAGGGGCAATGGGCAAAAACTGGAACACTGAAAGTTCCACACAAACCTAAGAAAAAAATTCTTTCCTGTGAGAGTGCCAGAGCACTGGAACAGGCTGCCCAGATAGGTTGTGGAGTCTCCTTCTCTGGAGATGTTCAAAACCCGCCTGGACGCCTTCCTGTGCAACCTGTTGTAGGGAACCTGCTTTGGCAGGGGGGTTGGACTAGATGATCTCCCGATGTCCCTTCCAACCCCGACCATTCTGTGATTCTGTGATTTATTAATAGTTGTTTTCCATATCGTAGATGTATGAATGCATTTGTACAAAATGTAAGAATATGTATGTGGGAAGGTAAATACTATGCAATAGGAGTTCCTCTGAAGAAAATGTAAAGCTGAAAGAATACATTTTTAAATGAAAAATTTGAACCTTTTCATTCTGCATCTCGGTGTTGCCCTTGCACAAATTTTACACTGGTACAGCTTCGGACTTCAATCACAATAATCTGAATTTACATCAGTTTAAGGAGAATTGAATGTTTGAGGTTATATAATCTCAATTATTTAAATTGTTAACCTATTATTTTTTCCAAAGAATAAGAGAAACTTGTTATTTTCTATTTTCCCATTTCTCTGTGGAAAACAGATTTTTTCAATCCTAGTAGTCACCAGTAAGTTGTTTTGGTTCCCATTTTCACTTTCATTGTCTTTTAATGTCTTAATTTACAATTTAATAATTTATTTACTTGTCTACAGTTTACTGTTCTGGTTTTAAAAAGAGTATCATTGTAGCTGTTAGTTCAGATGAGATAGCCACTGTGTTACATTACCGTTTTCATGCAGGGGATGAGCAATTTAGTTGAGAAAGGTCCACAAAAGGCATCATGTTGGCTCTAAGCAGTCTTGCTGGACAAATTTAAAGACCAAAGACAAAAGCGCATGTTGTCTCTCGCAGAGACTTAGGAAATGTCTATCCAGTGCAGTAAAGCACTCTCATGTAGAGATTCGTAAGCCAGTTTCCACCAGATTCACTCTAGCAGTTATGGGGCAGTAAAATGGCATTGGAGCTATAGCACTGAGAAGGAAGGATAATTAATGTAGACCCAGGGCCACAGAAATGTGGTTTTGCTGCTTCCTAGATCTGGTCAGTGTCTTTGCCTGCTTGAGTATATGCACTGGTTCAGACAGAACTGCTTATTTCTATGTCCATGTTAACAAGTGCAGCCCTGTCCAAGCAAGGCTGTAGAGTAAAAAGAGTTGGTGTGGAGGGCCTGGTGTCCACAGTGTGTGCATTCCTGAAGCCCATTTCTGGATTAATTTCACCCCAAAGGAACCCAGGTCATGCATCCTGAGACGACTCTGTGATGCGAACTGAAGTGTGTTAATGAGGGAGATTTGCTCAGAAGTGTGCTCCTGATTTTGGCTGTGCTGATGTAGATGCCCATTCTGACACTGCGTGCTGTAGACAAGCTCCATACATTTTTTTCCTCTCTGAAAGGGTCTCTTTAATTGGGATTCACAGCCTTAAATCCTTTTACTATTTACTACTGACTTTATTTTTTTTTTCCCAGATACCATATAGGGTTGAATAGAGTAAATAGAGCTGTAATATAAACTAGTTAAATATTTATTTAAGCTACTAATTGATTGGAGATGTCTTCTCACATGGATGGGTATCTAACCAGTTACTCTAGGGTCATATTCACTTCAGTGCTTTGTCTCTGGTACAACAAATGAATGGATTGTTCCTTGTATAGTGGAGCATGTTGACCAGGAGGGCATGCAAGCTCCTCTGCGCGATGTTGACTAGCTGAGGGGTTAGGTCATTATCTGGGGAGTTACCAAGTCTGAGTTCAAAGAGTCTTAATGAGAATGGGAACAACGAGGCCCCTGACAGGTCAGGATCAGGACCGAACTATTCTCAGGTATGTCCACATGGAAAACATAGATCCTTGAGCACCTTCCACATAGAAGCAGGGGCTGTGGGCTTCACATGCTTCACCTCCACACACTGGGGTTGAACAGCAGCTAAGCAGAGGGTTTAAAGGATCTGTATTTGATGCTAGTGGGTCTGTCAGTTTTCCTTGGACTGTTTCTATACTAGTGAGCTAAGCAGAGCATGGGCCGAAGTGCTGTTGAATTTTTAACCCAGTTCTGGCAGAGTAGCACGCTAGGCATGCTGTGGGGGATTCAGACACTGGAACAGGTTGCCCAGAGAAGTTGTAAATGCCCCCTCCCTGGAACTGTTCAAGGCCAGGCTGGATGAGGCTTTGAGCAACCTGGTCTAGTGGAAGGGGTCCCTGCCGTGGCAGGAGGGTTGGAACTAGATGATCTTTAAGGTCCCTTCCAACCCAAACCATTCTATGATTCTATGATATGATTGCTCAGGTCAGGAGTTATTTCCAGTAGGTAGTATGGACAAGGCCACTCAGTTTCAGAAGCAAGGACAGTTTAGATTTCAGTCAGCCTGGCTCGCGCACCAATAGACATAAAAAAGAGGAGATAGACAAAGGAAAAATAAAAACCCCACAATAATTTTAATTGTGTTTTTTCAGCAACATGCAATTTGTGTGGGAAACTAGGTTTGAGACTTCCAAAATTTTTGTAACTTCCAAAAATTTTTCAAGTTGCTTCTTTCATAGATGACACTTAAAAGTGAATGCATTTTTAAAGAAGGATTTGAGAATAATTTTTATGAGGTGCTTAGGAAGTGTGGGTGGGAGTGCTGTGTGATGACTTACAGAAGGGATGAGATGCTGTTGAAAGAGAAATTCTCGCTGAGACTGGTTCACAAAGTGGACCTGTATTGGCTTTTACTCTGCTGGTATGGCAGATGTCATCATGGATGCATGCAGAGGTTAGAAAAATACTGACATTTGCCAAACACAAAAGAATTATGCCTTTAGGAGGAGAAATATTCCATTTCCCTAGATGTTTTCTCATGACCTCTGATAGAGACTAGGCCAAATTCATTGCTTATTTAACCGCAGTTCATTTAGTTGATTCAAACAGAGTTACAATCAAGAATCCATGGGGTCCTTAATAAATGAGTGTAATGAGGTACATTAATAAAAACAGGAAATTAGAATCTTGATATTCTGGTTGTCCGAAATAACGCTTTCAGTGTTACTAGGCCGGAAAATGTTATATTGAGTCAGTTCCCAGTTTAGGTTGAAAGAAGATGGTGAGTAACAAAGATAAACTGTGCTGGCTACAGAGCCAAACTCAAGTTCAAAAGAACATTTAAGAATGTGCTTAAATACATTGCTGTATTAGGGTGGGTCTAATTATGTAATTAAAGCACACTCCTTTGTGCTTTCCCAAAGCCAAGTCTTACGTTTTGATGAATCTCAGTGTTTAGTACAACCAGAGTGGGTATTATTTGGAATCTCAAAGTAAAACTGCAAAGCTGGCAATACTACCAGATGCCAGTAGACCCTGATTTTAACCTACAAAGTGTGTGGTGATTCTTTAAAGTCAAACAGTTAAACTAGAAAATACAGATGTTTTTAGAAACTCTTAAATATTTAAGCTGGAAAATGCTATGCCAGAAAAAAATTTGTAAAGGGACAGAATTAACAAATAAATAGGGTCTTCTAGCATTATCACTTCTATTTAAAATCCTTGGTAATAAAAATTTATCAGCACACCAAAAGTGTTGTTAAGGTTTTCTCAATATGTATTTGTAGTGGAGGGGAAGGATCAGAAAGAGTATAACTTTTGTTTGCATGCAGGGTAGTGCTGCATGAGTGGCACTTCAGCTCACTGGGAGCGAGCGCTTAGCAGAGCGCAGTGCACTTACTGCCTCACTCGCTGCGAACAGTTCAAGCGTAGCGTGCTCTGCTCCAAGGCTGAGGTTTGGCACGCCTATTTAGCAGCACTGCTCAAATCACTGCTGCACTGCTTCTTCTTCTAAATCTGGCTTGATTAAAGCTAAGCTAGCTACCTCTGGCGCCTTGCACAGTGCACCCGTGCCCTGGCAGCTCCCTGAGTGCAGCTGAAATATCTTCCCTGAACGGGCTTTGAGGCAGGCCCCAGGATATTTATCTGACCTATTGCATTGTTCTTACACATGAATACTGCAAACATTGCTGATACGCTGTAATTTACAGAGGAAGAATGAGCACTGCGATAAGTTTGGTTTTATTCTTTCCTCAGCCATCCGGTATGACGGGGTTAATGTGTTTGGCTACACAGTCTGGTCCCTCCTGGATGGCTTTGAATGGCACAGGGGATACAGCATTCGACGTGGATTGTTTTATGTTGATTTTCAAAGCCATGACAAGAAGTTGATGCCCAAATCTTCTGTCTTGTTCTATCAAAAGCTGATAGAAAAAAATGGCTTCCCACCTTTGCCTGAAAACCAGCCCATAGAAGGGATTTTTCCCTGTGGCTTTGCTTGGGGAATTGTTGACAACTACATTCAGGTGAGTCTGATGATAAAGCCGATAGGCTGTCCAGCCAGATCAATGCCACAAGTTCATAGTGACAAATTCACTGGATAGAGTGTCTCTGCCAATATGTATTACTACAATGCTGCAAGGAGTTGGATACAAGGCTTTTGTGCCAAACACTGTCTTTCAGTCTTCACTAGACTTTCTGTGTGTGACCAAGGAGATCCAGTCAGACTGAGATCCAAGAAACAGTGTTTTAGAAAAGCATACGGAAATTGAAAGGAATCTGATGGTCATCTTCCATGTATGTGTTATGTGATCAGTTACTGCGAGTCAGCCCTTTTTGAATGGAAGTTGATTAGATCTGCTAACGTGTGGTTCAAAATGTCCCAGTCTATGAAAAGGGAAATATTACTGCTTTTTCATGCCTGTAATTTTAGTGGTAATGTATTTGGCTGCTGTGATAATATGTTTTAAAAAACTTCCTGAAAGCTCTCAAAACTCCAGTGGCATGTTTCTGCATCATATGCATATATATCCTGGTTAGAGAGCTTTTGTGTAAAAAAACCAACCCCAAATGATACTAGATTTAGATGAAATTTCTGTATTCCTTCTGTGCCTAGTACTGTGTCTGATGGAGGCCTTCAGAGTCCCTGAATAGCACCTAGCTAGATCATAGATCCAGTTCTTAGCTCTCACTCTTTATTTGAACTAAATCTGAAACTTTGGGAGAATATTTCAAATAAAAATTGTAGCTCAGATACAGTCTGTTTAACAGTTTGGCTCTGTAATTCTTAGATGCTGTTTTGGCTTGCAGGGCTTCTCTAACCACAGTAAAGAGTTGTAGTTAAAGTCAAAGCTGAGGCTGGATCCAAGAACAGAATTTTTAATTTAGATTTTCCACAAAGACGTAATCTTTCTTAAGGCTAGCATATAGGGGGCTTGTTTGTTTTTTCTCACTCCAAAAGCAAGATCTGACTTTGTTCTCTTGAAAAATACTGCAACCTCCTCACCTGGTACACCAGTTTCCAAGAAAATTCAACAGTCATTATCCTCCCAGCTCCCAGATAGATTACGAATTGGAAATGGGCTGCTGCCTTTGGGATCGATAACAGCTATAAAGTTGCAGAGTCAGTCAGCGTATGACAGTAAAAAAATCTCCCCTGTCCTCAAAACTTCAAAGCTGAATATTTTCATTTCAAAAGGCCATTCAAACATTTTTTGCTGTAAGGCTTAGGTAGCGTGATTTGTAGATGCATCACAGTGGAAAAACTTTTTGACAGCATTCCCACAGTATTAGTGGCAATGCATGCTTTAGTAATCTGCAAGGGACAATTCTCCAGAAAAGCAATTTCCCTCAGACATGCTGGTTTTTATTACTTTCCTCTATAAGCACAGTACTGACCTCTCCGGAGAAAATTGCAACTGATTTTCAGCAGCTTCTTTATAGAGTCTGCAGAGCCTCAGCCACAAGTTGAACACTGGTTGTAGGCTGACACCTGCTTTTCAAACAGAGGGCAGGACAAGGAAATCTGAACTCAGGGGGAACTTTGCACCAGAAAAAAAAAAAAAGGAAAGAATGACAAATAAACACGTGTGGTACCAGTATCTTGTAGTTTGGATCTTTCTTGTAAGAGTTACACTAGAGTATGAATGAGGAGATTTTACACTGTGCATTATTTTAAGTAATTAACTTTTTAATTTTCTAGTTCTTACTGTGTTTGCAATACTCATTAAAAAGTGAAAGTATAATTCTGTAGGACCCCGAGAAGCTCATCGCCTACTATGTCCCCTATGTCATACAGGCGATTCTAACATCTGAAGCCCTAAAGATTTATGGGAAATGCATTTATTGTTGGAGTGACATATAGTGCATTTACTTGGAGGCCTGAAAAAAAATTGATTCAGACATCAACAGCCCGCTGAAATAACTTGGAAATGAGTTCAGTATGAGTTAAATAAAAAAGAACGTCTTTATCAAGAGGGAAAAATTTTGCTTGTCAACTGAATTCATGCTAAAAATCAAGTGCAGAGCATTACTCATCTTTCATCATAGTCAGGAAAAGAACACAGAAATTATGTTGCTTTCATTATTTCTTTTACAGTGTTCAGGGAGTGGTCTCGAAACTGAAGCTACTGGGTAATTTACAACAGACGGTCTCTCTGTAGACCCTTTGGTATAGCTTCTTAGTCTTGAAAGAAAAACATTTTAAAAATTACTGTAGTCTTTGCTGACAATCTCCTTCTCTGGAGATCTGTTGCAGGCTTAGTGCCTTATCCCTGAGCAATCCCATGTTTCCCATACAGACTGGAGCAATCTGGAGAAGATACAAACATGGTGACCATTAGCATAACCTTGTTTGTAAAGTAAGATGAAAACAATATATAGATTTGGTACTTTTTTGATGTCACATGTTAACAGGAGATAAAGTAATTCATATGAGCCAGAGATGTTATCATATCACAGATGCAAGAGAGGTGCTAAGTGCAATGTTTTGACTTATGATACTCTTTCACTACATTGTGCCTGATGGTTATGATGTTCCCACCTACCTAGAACAAACAGCTCTAATCTGGTATGTTTCTTATTATACCTAGGTAGACACGACACCTGCCCAGTTTCTTGACTCCAGTGTTTATGTGTGGGATGTTCACGAGACAAAGAAGCTTATTAAAGTGGAAGGAGTTTTCACCTCGAAACGCAAGCGTCACTGTGTTGATTTTGCTGCTATCAGGCTCCAGATCTCGCTTCTTCAAGAAATGCATGTCACACACTTTCATTTTTCACTGAAATGGTCTTCAATCCTTCCTTTAGGTAACCTTTCTCTAATCAACCACACACTTGTACATTATTATCAGTGTTTTGTTAATGAACTTCTCAGGGTTAACATAACTCCTGTTGTTGCTTTATGGCAACCTATGGCTGAGAATCAAGAGCTTCCAGTTTCCCTTGCCAAATATGGAGCTTGGGAAAACCCAGAAACCATTCAGGCTTTTGTTGAGTATGCCAAATTCTGCTTTACAAGTCTTGGGGACCATATCAAATTTTGGATCACAGTGAATGAACCATCTGTGAAAAACTTGACATACACCGCAGGGCACAACCTGTTGAAAGCCCATGCAAAAGTATGGCATCTTTATGACAAAGAATTCAGGAGATCTCAGAAGGGTAAAATATCTATAGCTCTGCAAGCCGACTGGGTAGAACCAGCTTGTCCCTTTTCCAGGAATGACCAACAAGTTGCTGACAGAATTTTAGAGTTTGACATTGGCTGGCTTGCAGAGCCCATCTTTGGAAATGGTGATTACCCACAAGTGATGAGAGCATGGCTTCACCGAAGAAACAGCATTGACCTGTATAATTTCCACTTGCCTTATTTCTCAGAAGATGAAAAGAAGTTAATCCAGGGCTCATTTGATTTTTTTGCCTTGAGTCACTACACTACTACCTTGGTGGGCTGGGAGAAAGAAGATGCACTAAAATATGACCACTATCTTGAAGTTCAAATGATCAATGACATCACATGGCTGCACTCCCCCAGCAGAGCCGCAGTAGTGCCCTGGGGACTGCGTAAATTGCTCAAGTGGGTTAAATCAAAGTATGGTGATGTCCCAATTTATGTTATGGCTAATGGAATTGACGATGACCAGAATATGGCGCATGATAAGCTCAGAGTGTATTACATACGGAATTACATCAATGAAGCTTTAAAAGGTAAGGAACCATCGATGGTTTACATGTCACAAATCCCAGTATTAGTATACACTGTGTGAAAGGGTATGTTTAACTTTAAAAAAATAAATCCTATGTAGAATACTCCATAAATGAGATGTTATTACAGCATAACATATAGTTTTCCTTTGATTTACGATTGATTGGTGTTAATAAACATCAGGAAGATTTGACTGTGCACATAGTCTGCATAAGGCAGCAGAAAAACTTGTTTGTGAATTCAAGAAATTTAAGTAGATGTTGTGTGAGTAGCTCCACATGTATTTAGTTGGACTTTTCTTCTTACTGCACTTCTACTGTTGTTCTGCTTTGTTGCTTCTCTCCACTGTTGTGCCTCGGGGCTGGGTACGAGTTCTGTTCCTCAGCTGTCTCTGTATCTTATCCAACAGTGATCTTCATAATAATTCAGCTATTTACCTCATTATGCCATTTCCTGGACTCTTTCCTGCTGTTCAGAACCCAAACCAGTCTTTTTCTCTGTCTCAAAGATTCATAAATTACAAGGCAAAAAAGAGGCATTCTGAGTCATTCGGTCATACTATACACGCTATTTTTTTAAGAAAAGCGAAATACTCGAATGAGATAATTTTTACTGATGAAGAATCTTCTACGTCTCACTGTAAGCTGTGCAGTGGCTAATTATTTACAGGTTTTGTATGTAAGTGTGTGTATAGATATATATAAATTTTACTTCTGATGTTAATTTCTTTAGCTTCAGCTTTAAGCCATTTTGTTGTGCGTTTCCGTGTATTTTACCTTTGTAGCTATTTACAGACAGAAACAAAAGCTATGTCTCATTCATCTCTTTGATTAACAACACAGACAAAGCTCTTTGTGACCCTATAAAACATCACTTAGAACCCTTCAGTTATTATTAAACTTCTTCCCATTTGCCAGCATTGTTCTCAAGAGGGGTAAACCCAGACCTGGCCACACTGTTCCTGCCACAGCCACACCTGTATCTCAGGCCGGTATAACATGACATCTTACCCTTTTCTCTTCTTTCATACATCTAAGCAGCCCATGAGCCCTTTTGGCCATGGCAGCAGGTTGGTTACACACACTGTGTGGTTATCTGCTGAGATTTCAAACTCGGTTACAGATTCCTGCCCCCCAGGCAGAACGTCCTCTACCAAAGTATGGTCTGCTTGTTCTTTGACATCCTCACATTTGGTCATGTTCTAATGCCAGTTGCTTGCTTGTGTGAAGCTTGCTACACTAGCTAAATTATGTCTCTAATCTTTATGTTATTTGCAAACTTTGTGAGAAGTAGTTTTAGTTTTCTTTCAGGTTGCTGATATATTTAAGATCATTAAATATCTTGGTGCTTAAAGCCGATCTTTATGACCATGGTGGAAACACACCTACTTTGACACTTACCTGCCGTTCCATTTCTAGGCTTACTAGTTCTATTTGAGACCAGCTGAAGTCTGTTTATTATGGTCTTCCCTTGACCTCATAACATTCCATTTTCTTGATCCAAATGCCATATAATACCAAGTCAGTTGCCTTGTGAAGTTCTAAGTATATTACATCAAACATCATTACTTTTATTGATCTGCTGTTCTCATAAAAAAGATGTCAAGTTAGTTTGACAAGATTTATTTTTCATAAAGCTAAGCTGATTGTCATTAATCATATATATCTCCTGTAATTCTTATTTATCAAGCCTTATAAAATCTATTCCACTCTTTTGCTAGGTAGTGAAGGATGGCTGGCAGTTCTGTAATTTGCTAGGTCATCCTGTCCGCTCTGTTAAGTATTGGCTTATCCTCCTCTGTAATTTCCACCTCTTTCATGAATTACTGAACATCGGTATTAAGTGCCCAAGAGTTCCTTCTTCGGTATTTTGAAGCACTGGCTGCATGTTTTCTGCATCTGTAGTTAAGAAACGTATCTTGGCTAGATTTGAGTTTATGGTTTCAATCTGTTTTTTCTCCTTCCTACCACTTTAGACTGTACCAGTTCTTGGGACTTCTGTTTTCAAAACATGTATGGATATGGGCTTTTCTTACAGTTCTTATTAACCAGAGCACCTGTGCATACCCCTGATTTTTACAGAACTTTGTCATTCGTACTGATCTCGTACCAGTATCCCCAGTCACTTCCTTCTCCTCTCTTCTATCCAGCCTGGAAGTAGCTTGTATGTTTTTAAACTTAACTATCATATGTAAGCCATATTTTCTTCTTTCCATTTTCTTTGTCATGGATGAATATGTCCCTGCTAACTACCCATAATACCTGCCCTAATGTTCACTCTCCCACTTCTGGCATCATGCAGTCCTCCATAGTGTTTAGTCTGGCAGTAATACCAGCTTTTTTTTCTTTTCTTCTCCCACTCTGGTATAGATTTTTTGTCCATCTTATCCTTACACAGGGAACCTTGGCATCATGACTGATTCAGGTTTCTCCAAAACTTGCATTTTTTCTGCAAGACCCTGTGCACTGAGATGAATTATGAATCTTGTGTCCTTACCTCAGTGTCATGCTGGAGAGGAATGAGAGGGGTTTGGTACATGCGTGTTCTAACCTTAAAGTTCAAGGACTGCACGTGACAGCATTTGTGTGTGTAGTGTTGCTCACCTGCATTGTTCCAGGGTAGCCAAGAGGTTTGTGCAGGTAAATGACTCCAAAATACAGTATGGGACCCTTTGGACTGAGGCTATATTTTTAAGTGCTTTCTACACTCTTTTAAGTACATCTTTCACTGAATCACAGAATTGCCTCGACTGGAAAAGACCTTTTAAGATCATTTAGTCCAATTATTAACATAACACTGACAGGTCCTTGACTAAACCATGTCCCTAAGCACTATGTCTACAGCACTCTTAAATACTTCCAGGGATGGGGACTCCACCACTGCCCTGGGCAACCCATTCCAATGCTTGATAACCCTTTCAGTAAAGAAATTCTTCCTAATATCCAATCTAAACTTCCCTTGGTGCCACCTGAGGCCATTTCTTCTTCTCCTATTACTTGTTACTTGGCTGAACAGACCAACCTCCACCTCTCTACACCTTCCTTTTCAGGTAGTTGTAGAGAGTGAGGTCTCACCTCAGGCTCCCTTTCTCCAGGCTAAACAACCCCAGTTCTCTCAGCTGCTCCTCATAAGACCTGTGCTCCAGCCCCTTCACCAGCTTCGTTGCCCTTTTCTGTTCACACTCCGGCACCTCCATGTCCTTCTTATAGTGAAGGGC